AAAAAAAAAAAAAAAAAGAACAGCAAAGGTCACCGCACCAGGTCCGACCGGAATACGCATATGCACCCAGAGCACCAGGTCCGACCCGGGGCGTGGTCCCACTAGCAAAGAGGATCGGATCGAATGCCTGAACCTGGACGTGTTTGTGGAGAGGTGCAGGAAATCGAGATTGAACTGCTTTAAATTTCTGCATCTGTGCGTCAAACACATCCAGATTCACGAGCTCGATCCTATCCTTTTTGCTAGTGGGACCTCGGCCTCGACCACACACAGCCGTGACAACGCGGCTACTTCCTATGCACAGAATCTCGAATTTTATTAAAGAGAATTAAAAAAAAAAAAAAAAGAAGATGTGATCGTCAGCACCCAACAGCAGCTTCTAGCGCCATAGCAGCTATGGCGTCACCTTCGTCCTCCTGTACCACCGAAGAGCGAAGATGTAGAAGGAAGGAAAGCTTAGGTCCTTAGGAAACAGTTTAGTACCCTGCACTTTCTGGTATGATGTGAGGGACGCCAGACCCGTTTTCGGCGTTTTGCGGTTGGTACACTTCAACAGCAGCCGTCGTCTGAACCAGGCCGGTGCCGGTGTGCCTCTGGATCATACGACACTGGCTGCCTTTCCACAAAAAAAAAAAAAAAAAAAAAAAAAAAAAAGAAGAAGAAGAAGAAGAAGAAGAAGAAGAAGAAGAAGGTGCCTGGGCAGTACCCTACTAATTTCCGTGGCTGCGATATGCACAAAATGTCGAAATTATAAAGAGAAAAAGATGTGATCGTCAGCACTCGACGACAGAAGCTATGGCGTCACCTCCGTCCTCCTCCGTCCGCGTGTACCAGCGAATGGAAAAGAGAAGATGAAGAAGGTGCCTGGCCAATGCCCAACTACCGTCTTTCCGGGAACATAACGCACGTCGCTTAAAATGAATGTATACAAGTTGTATTTCCGGCCAGATCCAGCAGCCAAAATGAGGGTGCGTTGTGTTCGGGGGAAGACTGTAGTTTCCGTGGCTGCCAGTTAGCGACTTCGTCAGCTGGAAATCCGGTACTAGAATTTTTGACAATTACAAATCAATACTAGAATTTTTGACACTTACAAATCAATACTAGAATTTTTGACAATTACAAATCAATACTAGAATTTTTGACAATTACAAATCAATACTGGAATTTTTGACAATCACAAAG